TATGGGCCTGATGGCCAGAGTGGCTAGCGCTCGGTACCACAGGTTTCGGGTACGAATCATGGTGGTGCCATGGATGTTTCTTGTGGTTCGAAATCCACTTTAAACAGTAGGTCCCGGTCTAATAGGACCGTAGAGCGTTGTGAGGGTAATGCTACTCGCATCAGTAGCATATTTTCCAGCTACACGTGCCCCCTGGGTGATCCTAAATAAGTAACAGCAGATGCTAAATGAGTAAATCGATACATAATAATCGATTTAAAAATAAATTACTTACTGAAAAACTAATTGGTGTAATAAAAATATTAAATTTTTCATTGCTAGCAATTATACATATATTTTTAACTGTTGGTAATTATTTTGCAAATTCATTACCAGATAAAAAAAATGTGAAATATAATTTTATGCTTTTTATGGGATTTTATAATTTTGTTTATTTATTTGTGTTGCTGGTTAAATCTAATATATAAAATTCTCGTGTCACAGTGTTTGTTGCCAAACTCCTCCGAAACGGCTTGACCGATTCTTATGAAAATTTTTGTGCATATTTGGTAGGTCTGCGAATCGGTCGTAATCTATTTTTTAAACCCCTAAGTGATAAGGGTGGTCCACCCCTAAATATTTTTAAAAATTTCTTTCGCAAAGCAATGTAGTGTTTTTTTTTTATTTCTTTTTATTTATAATTCATTTTTTTTTAAAAAAAAAAAAATTTTTTTTTTTTTTTTTTTTTTTTTTTTTTTTTTTTTTTTTTACTTTTATTTAATTAAGTGATCTTATATGAATCAACACGTGTTGTGAACTCGCGCCAACAACGGCCGTTGCCTTACCTGCATATATTATACGCAACGTTTTTGTGGGAATAGTTTTAATTTAAAAGATAAATATTTGAGTGTTAAATAAATATAGGTGTTTTATCATTGTTAAAGGTAAGTCAAATAATAAGAGAACGAATACTGTTATATTTGCACGTGTAGCGTGTTAATGTCTTAAATTAATGTTTTGTGAAGTTATATTCTTTGCACGTGTAGCATTAAATTATATTTACACGTGTAGCGTGTGTTAATTTTTAGTTAAGCAAAATTGGCAACCTTATTATTGTTCTAAGAAAAATAAAGATGGCTGTTGTAGCGTTTTAATTTACAGGTGTAATTGTGTTGCAATTTACTTTATTGTGGCGAATCTGGGATTCCAGTAAAGTAAGTGTTATTTGCAATTCGAAAGCATAAGATTATCTAAAGCACAAACTTATAACGACAAACTATTTTTCGCCACTCTGTTACTCATTTTAGGTGATTTCAGGCAAACACTTCCTGTCATTCCACATTCAACGTACGCTGATGAGATCAACGCTTGCTTAAAATCATCGTCACTGTGGCGTAATGTTGGAAAATTACAACTAAAAATAAACATGCGCATTCAAATGCTTCAAGATCCATCCGCTGAAACATTCTCAAAGCAACTGTAAGATAATGGCGATGGAAAAATTGCTGTACATGAAAATACTGGATGCATAAAATTTCCGACAGATTTCTGCACAATCATCGACTCGCAAAATAATCTCATCGACCACATATTTCCCGATGTATGCACACAATTCAAATATCTTGATTGGTTGGCAGAAAGAGCAATTTTGGCAGCAAAAAATGTGGACGTCAATGGTTTAAATTCCAAGATACAACAGTTGTTGCCAGGGAACTTGGTGTCATACAAATCTATCGATACAGTTTGCGATGCCAATAAAGCTGTAAATTATCCAATTGAGTTTCTGAATTCATTGAATTTGCCAGGCATGTCACCGCATCATTTACAATTAAAGGTTGGATCTCCAGTTATTTTGATTCGTAATTTGAACCCTCCATGGCTGTGCAATGGAACACGATTAGTCATTAAAAAATTTGAATGGAAAGTACCGAGGCAAAAATATATTGCTACCACGAATCCCTATGATTCCCACAGATGTGCCAATTGAATTCAAACGTATTCAATTTCCAATTAGATTGGCATTCGCAATGACAATCAATAAGTCGCAAGGCCAAACGATGTCTGTTTGTGGCTTAGATTTGGCCACACCATGTTTTTCCCACGGACAACTATACGTGGCATGTTCGCGTGTGGGTAAACCATCCAGTTTGTTTGTGTTGGCTAAAGACGGACTAACCAAAAATATCGTACACTCCATTGCACTTAGAGATTGATGTTGATTATTTTTTAATTGCCATAATTAGTAGTAAATAAGTAAATAACTATTTTTGATGCATATACAGCTATTATATAATGTAATTTAAAATATATTTATTAATTTAATAAAATATAAAGGATGAAATAAATAAATAGTTAGTGTATTATCATTTTATACGCCGTCATTGTCTGCAACGTTCCATTCCTCTTCCAATCATAACCACATTTCCACACACTTATAGTAAGATAGTTTTTTTTTTTATTTAACTAAAAAAATATTTTAGAGAAATAATATATATGGCAAAACAACGTTTGCCGGGTCAACTAGTTTGTTTATATAATTTGCATTTCAATCTGTAAAAAACAAACATTCTATCAAATATTAAAAGAAAAATTTCATTAACTAAGAATTGGGAGACCAAAATATTAATAAGCAAACTCTGTTGAACCATTAAATAAAATTCTTCCCAGTGTTATATCTTTTTTTAAAATTATAATACAGAGTTAATTTAACAAAACAATGGATTAATTGTTAGTAGTGAGATAAAAAATTAAATAAAAAAAAGAAAAAATGAGATAAATAAAAGAAAAAAAGGTATTAAATAAAAATATGAGACAAGGAGAATTTATATAGATTATTCCAATTGTTGCTTTCATGTGATCAATACATGTTCTAATGACAGAATATTTTTATGGTGTTTTAAATACCACTCTACATGTCATAGATATTGAGTTCTGTTATTTTATTTATAACATCAGGCTGAAACTGCAAAACATCAAGAGGTTTTTTAGTTTTTACTACACTTTCGTATTTATATATTAATTGCCTTTATAAGACATGCAAGATGACAGAATATTTTGGCAATTCATTATATATATATATATTTGTTGACATCTCATTTTGAAAATAGTTAATAAATTCACAAATGATTATAAAGAAATAATTTATTTAACAAGTAATATCAAAGAAAAAATTTTTAAAGTCAATTCCTTCTTTTTTTTCCACTTAATTGCAGAAAATCCTTTATAAATCATTTTCAATCATTTTTTTTAAATTTATCCGGCGAATATTTATTAATTTAATCATTTTTATTGATAGATATATGCAACTTACAACTAAAAAAAATTAAAAATAATGAATTAAATTTAATTACTGAATTAATATACAGTTTTTTCAACTGTATTAACATCCAGTGTCATCCACTACAAGTTCAAATTAAAGGTATTTGAACTTGAGTGGATGAATAAAAAATATTTTATGAACGATTGAAAATTTGAACAAGATATATATAAAGGGAGTGTGTGAGTAAAATTTCAATAAATTTGTTGACGCATATTATTTAAAACACTTTCATGTAATATCTCTGCTTATATTCATTTTTTATGTTTGGTACACGGGGCCTGTATGACCGAGTGGCTAGCGCTCTGGTACTCGGTACCGCGGGTGTCGGATTCAAGTCCCGGCGGTGCCATGGATGTTTGTAGTGTTTCGGAATTTACTTTAAACCGTAAGTCCCGGTCTAAACACGATCGTAGAGCTTTGCAGAGGTATCGTTACTTCGCATTCGTAACTTATCTTCAAGCTACAAGCACCTTCTAAATGTTTACCAGCTGCATTGGAACAAAAAAAAATGTTTGATACACAAGATGTTACAGCGGTTTGAATATAAATATACAGCGAATATACAGCATACGAATAACAGTTTGAATATACAGCGAATATGGTTTATATATAAAATAAATTTCATATTATTTTCAATGCATTTTTTTTTTTGAATAAAAAATTTTTTAAATAACACTGTAACTATACTCATTTCAGATATTATAGGATGAAAAAGTATAATGAATTAAAAAGATAAGTGAACTATAACTATTTCAAAAGAGTTGGTCAATCTGTAGTTACTCATTTATTTGTAATTATAAAGAATTTTAATAAGAAACATGATTCAATTGATGACCTTCAATTGATGGCATCATAAAATATTAAAATTATTGTTCCTCTTAAAACCAAACATAATGTGAATACAAAATTGACTATGGAATAAGGACAAGAGGAATAGAAGCTTCTACTATACAATATAAGTTACAGCACTAAATTTTTAAATTGAATTCACTTTTGTTGTTGTTGTTTCTTATCCCACTTGGCTAGCCAAGCCCACGAGCCCGTACGTACTCATGATTGAAGGGGAAGGAAGCAGCTTCTGTTGTGATGGAGCACCCGTAGGTAGAAGCCTGACTTTTGCTTCGTGACACTCTTACAGTCATAGGAGACCGGGACCTACGGCTTAAAGTGGATTCCGAACCACTACAAACATCCATGGCACCGCCGGGATTCGAACCCGAAACCTGTGGCACCGAGCGCTAGACACTCGGCCATTAAGGTCCCAAATTTGTGAATGCCAACGGCACGCGGTGTGTGTTCCCAGGTGGTCACCCACCCAAGTACTGACCGCGCCCAATGATGCTTGACTTCGGTGATCTAACGAGAACCGGTATATTCAGCATGGTACGGCCGTTGGCTGAATTCACTTTTACTTATATATACTTACTTTTTCTATTTACTTGGTTAGATATGAAAACCAGGTGCGGTTATCCAGGGATTAAAAAGACTCGAAGAGATCGGAATGAAGTGAAGTATTTGGACCAGGAGCGATGAAGGCCGCCGAAGATGAATGGTAAAGGAGAATGGAGCGTGATGCGACGATGGACTACTCCGTTCGGGAAAGTGCATCAGAAGAGAGTAATCCGGAACTTATGGATACAACATGTGCGGCAATACAATCGGAGCGGTTGTCCTCGCCTACATTTCCCGAAAAGCAATCCAATTTATCTGACGAAGAACACTGTGCACGCATATCTACTGTGATCAAGAAGAAGGACATTGCACAGAATCTCTACGATGCATATGCTGCAGCGCTGACTGGATATTCTACGGATGATGATGACATTAAAAAGATAAAGATACTCTATGATGATCTCCAACATGCAATGAGGGAGGTAAGCAAACTTGAGCTTTGCCCATTGTCATCTTGTAAAAAACATAAAATTATAAACTTTAACTCTCAAATTAAGCGCAATGCTGCCCATCTTAATAATCATGAACATGATAATGACGGTTTTACTATGCCCTCCAAAAAGCTTATTGCTAAGGTCAATTGTGCTGAAAATCCTCAACATTTAGTTGAGACCAAAAATTCGTTTGACAAACGCAATGTTGACGAACAGCAGGAACAGGACTCTGATACCACCCCTGTAGTTAAAAGAATGCCACCCATTATGGTCAAGCCAACAGAAAATCTAAAAACTATGGACTAAACTATTTGACAAATTTTTTTAAAGTAAAGTTACCATCAAAATTGCGGGTGAGATGATCAAGATGCTTCTCTTCGACGAAAATCAGCACAGGGCTATAACCAGATATCTAGCGGAAAACTCCATCGAATATTTTGTGATAACGCCTAAATATCAACGTCCTTTAAAGGTCGTTATCAAAGGCCTCTACGTTAAAACTCGTGATAATGAAATCAAAGATGAGTTAGTTAATCTAGGTTACTCTGTTGACAAGGTAACCCAGTTAAAAAGACCTAAAACCAAGCAGCCTCTACCAATCTGGCAGATTACCCTTGTTAGGGAACAAAAAAGCATGGAAATTTTTAAACTAGAACGATTGCTATACTTTACTGTACAAGTTGAGAAATTTAACTTACGACCAATGTTTAAAATGTAATGTAATATAAATTCCTCCAATGTTTTAAATGTAATAATTTCCATCACAATGCTAATAACTGTGGGTTTAAACTTAGGTGTCTTAAATGTGGTAAAGAACACTCCCATAAGAAGTGTCCAATTGAAGGGAAGCTTGAGGTGCCAAAATGCATTAATTGCAAAGCTACAGGACATCTAGTAGCTTGGAGGGGCTGCCCCAAATTTCCAAAGATAAATACTAACTCTAACAGACAGGCTGCCTATCCCAAAGTTATTCCTCCTAGACAAGTTACTCCAAACATCAGTTTTGCTTCCATGCTTAAAAACTACGTAAATGCAACTACAGCTGTACCTCCTTCAACATTTGTAAATCAAAACCAACCAAGTTCACTACCTGGCATTGAAGATCTCAACTTATTCCAAAATGCTATTATATTAATGAAAGAATTCATTTCTCTTTTCACTGATATTAAAAATCTTCCAAATTTAATCAATCAAATTAATTATACCAACAATAAAGCTGACAAGCTACAAATCTTTGCCAACTGTATCTGCTCCAAACCATCTAACAATGCCACGTAGTGACTATATTGTTTACAGGACTTGGTAGTCGAAACGTTTTCGTTTCCCTTCCCCCAGGCTCTACCCTTCTATCGCCGACTTGCAACTGATCTTGTACGATTCGCAGATTTTCCCCGTCATTACCAGTTCATCCTCTCTTAACAAACACGTTGCTCTTACACGTTTTTGTTATTTTTAACTTGCACTCCTTTTTGAATTAGATTAACCTATTGAAAGTATTTTTATTTTTAAGTTCTCTTTCAAACTACGTCCATTTTGTAATTCTTCAAATTCCTCTTTTTATTATTTTAAATATTATATTATAATTAATAATTATTAAATACTTTATTGAAAAGAAGAAAAGAAACTTCTCTTCTCCATATATTATTATCACTATATTAAGTGTTTATTTTTAATGCAATGGGCTTAAAGCTAAAGTTACTTGCCTTCCATATGCAAAGAATGACGGGTACCCAAATACCAAGGAACTCCGTCGACCTACAAATCGTCGTCGTCGTTTTCTATTTACTTATGTATTTTTTTTGTACAGAATTTCAATGATGAATCCTTTTTATTATTTTGCAAACTGCATCACTATTTAAAGATACGAAATTTTAAAAGGAACTTTTAACACCATTTTTCTAAAATAATAACTGCAATCACACAAATGTTATAATAAAATATTATTTTAATAAAAATAAATACATGAACTCTTAAATGTTACTTAGCAACTAATTTCTAATTTAAAACCAATGCATTTCAGTTTCCTAGATAATATTTTTTACTCACATATATTGGTATGCCATTCTGCGTATATAACTTTATTTTTAATACATAAATTTCATAGTAATATTAATTGTATTGATGATTAAACGTTTAACAAAATGTAATGCAAAATCAGATTAATACTGAAAAGTCAGTATTATTTTTGATTTCGCATTACATTTTTAACATACAAATCACTCTTGCAATGCAATAGGTTGAATTATTGAGATTTTAATGTGAAATCTATCTCGATTTTCGGGGAAAGTTCTTTCCAGATATTCCGATTCTCTGAGATTTTCCTCCTATTCCCCAAAATTTGAAGGCGGACTTCTGGAGAATTATCTTTATAATATGATTAAAAAAAGTAGTCATTAGAGTGTTAATTTTCTACATATAAAAAGCCTTATTAAAAAGACATTTTAATTGACAGACGTTTTTAAGTACGACTCTATTACCATCGAATATTCATGTTGACTGTTACAAAGCAACAAATACGTTCGTCTGGTATTTCTACCACTTTTAATTTAATATATTTGTATGTATGAACAATTTCGGAGTTGCAAATTCATACTTACCTGGCACTGGAGTCATCCCTGATCAAGAAGGGGGATCTCCCGAGCAGAGGCCAATCATAGCACTTTGATTGGGCTGACGTTCGCCACATCCGCAAACTGCGGTTGCTTGGGGTGTATAATTTTTGGTAGTTGGGGCTGCGTACGCGCGGCCCCAGATTTTTCAATAGCAGAAATATTTGACAGTCTATACTATACAAATATGAATTATATTTAAGAATGGCTGTAAAAATTAAGTATCGAAGATGTGAGATTTTTGAAATTATGCATATATAATTTTTTTATATTATTATTATAATTTCAAGAAGGTAATAAAAAAATAATAGATAAACAACAAAAACGATTGGAGGGGAAATTGTGACTCAGTGGAGAAACTGCATGGTAATTCGGAAAGGAGGATATCGGAACGTTAATGAATAATATTCAGTAAAATCAGAAATGTCGTAAACATAGTTGCTTAGATCATTCAAAACAGAATTTTTAATATTTGGAATGGAATTATAAAATATTTTTGCAATTTTATACACAAATTGTTTAAAACTTGGGAGGGAAAGAGCATGTCTGATATCCTTATTTCGGAAAAACCAAGGCGAATTTGTAATCATACGCAGTATTTTATTTTCAAGTCTTTGTATGATCTCGAAATTCGACGGAGCAGTAGATCCCCAATTAGTATTCGCAAATCAAAGTATTGGACTCAAGTAAGCAAGATAAATGAGTTTTTAATTTTCCAAGGACATAGTAGAGTTCCTACAAATGAGTGGATACAGTATACGAATGCATCTATTAAATTTATCCCTAAGAGAATAAAGTGAGGAGCATAATTTAATTTACAATCTAAGATTACACCCAAATATTTAGTTTGCCCAGCCCAATTAATATGATTATTTTAAATTTTGATAGAAGGAGTATTAAGAACCCTTTTACGCGTGAATAGTACTGCTTCGGTTTTCTCAACGTTTAATTGAATTTTCCATTTTATAAGCCATTGTTCAAGATGATTGATATAATTCTGAAGGTTTTTACTAATGATGAAATGTTTACGACCTTGAGTGAGGAGTGCTGTATCATCTGCAAAAAGATTGATTTTCACATTATAAATTTGCGGAATATCATTAACTTAAAGATTGTAGAGAAATGGTCCAAGTATTGAACATTGGGGAACACCAGCCTGAATTTTTTGAACAGAAGAATCTGTGTTACCAATGGAGATCACAAAAGTTCTGTTAGTAAGATAATTTTGAATAATTTTAATAAGAAAAGTTGAAAATAATTAACTTATGGATTAACCCATTGACCCAAACTCTATCAAATGCCTTTGCTACATCAAAGAAAACCACAGCAGCATCTAATTTCCAGGAAAATCCCTCGGAAACAGTTTCAGTGAAATTAAGTAGTTGATGCATTGTAGATAATTTTTCAGTAAAGCCATGAAGTTTGCTTGTATTCAGACATAGCCTTTCTGACAAGTGCTTGAGTATAGTTGTAATGAGTTTTGATTTGCGGATCTCTGAAAATTTGCCAATTTTGGGGTATGATTTCTTTGATTTCTTTGAGTACTCCAATTTTCATGATTTCTTTGAATTTATATTACATTACATTTTAAACATTGGTCGTAAGTTAAATTTCTCAACTTTTACAGTAAAGTATAGCAATCGTTCTAGTTTAAAAATTTCCATGCTTTTTTGTTCCCTAACAAGGGTAATCTGCCAGATTGGTAGAGGCTGCTTGGTTTTAGGTCTTTTTAACTGGGTTACCTTGTCAACAGAGTAACCTAGATTAACTTAAATTAGAGTTTTAATGTAAGGAGGCATATAGTTACTATTGTTAACAGTGATATTTTTAGAGGCAGAGTTGTGAGCATAGATAATGGCATTGGTAAAATTAGTTACTTCATTTTCAATATCTTGAAAG